GAAATTGCTAAACATTTTCGTCTAGTACTGTACAGTTCTAGCCGATCTCCTAAGACCGCCCATCGAGAGCTCTGCTCGTTCAAGCTTGTTCCAACTACTTCTGTCTTGCTCACGCCTAGTGTGTATTCTTTCTATCTTCGCGCAGATTTCTTCAAGGTCACAATTCTAACAAATTGAAATGGACTGTAATTCCATATCGCTCAACAAAATTATTATTATCGATTTTTTAATCTATATTTTGCAATGATGATATCGATATCATAAAGTAATGACTCGGACTCATCATGTTAAGATATGATTGCTTAATTTTAGTTTGTTTCCATTCTAACGTGAACTTTGAAATATAAAATGTGTCGATCCATTCCCCTTTTAAAAAATAAAATGACAAAAAGCTCCGCATATTCAGCGTTGTCAATAAGTTCCGCCGCCCGGTTCAAACTGTCTCCCACCCACCCTCACCCCCCATTCGGTTAACTTTGACATTTAATTATTGACGACCTGCATACGTTACACCATTAAGGCAAAAGGTTAAAATATTTAAAAAAAAAGTGGCGCAGATACGTGTTACATTTGAAACCAATAATATTTTAAGTTCCAAACTTCTATTTACACGTTATTCTTACCCTTATCATCTAGCACGTTTCCAAGGAAAACACCATCACTATAAAAACGTAGGAAGTAACGAAACCACATTTTCATTCACTAATTTTTGAATCATAATTGAATATATAATTTCTGGACAAAGTTTCTGCTCATGTTGAAATTGTTCTAAAACAAATAATTGCTCGATTGGCACATGCATTATTGTGTGGTTATGGGACCTTTATATGGTATCTCGTTTGTTTTAGAACTACAACTGAAGTAAATACAAGATCGTGTTATCACCTGTGAGTGAAAGTCTGACGAGTGAAGTTTACTGACATGTCTGTGTGCGATGGCTATATCAGACAAGACCATCTACATATTGTACTTGTTATGCTGTCTAAAAGACATTTTTAAATTATTATGTGTATCTCATTCTTCATCTAACAAAATCTTTAGTTGTTTTCTTATCTCTCAATCTAATATCGAAGGGGTTAGTTATTAAATCTTCTAAACTGGTACACTCTCATAAACTAGAAAATTATACCACTGTTTCTACGTTTTACCAGATTAAATTGTTAAGAAATTATGCTCCGGGATTAATGAGCGCAGTTTTGATATCCTCCTCCTCCTTAGACAGCTCTTCTTTCAACAACTTGTCGATAACTGTAGTAGGCTTCCTTGTGTTCATTCCACAATAATCCCTGAGAATGCCTGCTTCAGCTGCCGATGAATGTTGAAAAAAAAACACCCTAAACGAGGGACCATCTGTAAAGGGGCATTTTAAAACCACGACCATAAAGTTTGGAAAATAATTAAACGAGTAACAAAAAACAACGTAAGCTACTTCAACAAAAAGATAGCTTCTGATTTCTAGTAAATTACTACCTGTATGGGCATTATTCACTTTGGTTTGCATTTTTAGACAATTAGAGGAAGTGGTTTACAAAAAGCGTCAACAATATTTGGGCTGTGTTCCTCTAGTTTCTGAGGAACAATTCGTTAGGCATTTGTGTCAAGTTTTTAAAGATCAGCAGGCTGCTTTTGAAAGCCTGCAAAACGCGAAGAAAAAAGAAAACGATTGCATGATTGTGAAGAAACAATTAGAACAAAAAATGCTGCTTTTCGACGAACTTAACAAAATGTTAACTGACGACAGGCCGATTATCGCAGAAAAAATCAGAGACTGGTTCACAGAGAAAAACACAATCATTGCAAATGTAATAAACAAAATATATTTCAATATCTTTATGATATTTAAAAAATATTTGTAGGAAATCAAAAGTGGTGGGGACGCGAGGTTTAAAGATGACCAACTGAAACTAGTCAAAAAGAGACTGAACACATTGGAAGAGCAATGTATTAAGCTTGAAGAAGAACTATTTTTTGAACACCAGAGGAATAACAAATCAACTGCTGCTACAGATAAAGAAAACTCAGAAATGGAGTTTATCCAAAGCCATCACACATCGAGTTTAACATCAGGAAATCATAATGTGTCTTTGTCTGATTCCCAAAACGGCCACAATCCTTTATCAGAGTTGATTAAAGCCACAAAAACTTTGAAAAAAAACACCGAGACCCAAACGGTTTTAGAAATAAGCTTAGACGGAAATGGGAAGGACAAAATAATAGACGATCTGCAGAACAGAATCCTGATCCTTGACAACGAGATTACCCAAAAGGACAACGCGTTATCGGAAATGAGATCGAAAACTGTCGAACTCGAAATGACCCTAAACATGTTCAGAACCCAAATCGCAGACAAGCACAGCCAAATTTCATTTTATGAAAAGCATATTGTCGATTTGCAAAATAAAATCAGCAGCGTAACTAACGAGATAAAGAAAAGTGATTTGGAGCAGACCAATGTACAGGAAATACTCGCTTTGCAGGTAAGAAAATAATTGTAGAAAACGTAGGTATTAACACATATGTGTACCTACCAATGGTTTTAGGCTAAAATAAATGATCTTGAAGACTCTCTTCGAAGAAAAGACGTATCATTCAACGATCTGCAAGTTGTACTCAAAAATGACAGAGATGAGCACAGTTTGGCAGCGTTAAGAATGCAACAAGAAGTGCAAAAGCTTCAAAATGTTATTGAGAATCAACAGAAAGCCTATGAAGAGTAAGTAATAATGATACTTTATTTCTTTGAATGTCATTAAAGTTTTTGAAAATTGTATTTACATCTTTTACATATTTATATCTCAGAGTTAAACTGTTGCTCTTTATACAAACTAAGTATCACTCTTCTATCTTTGTAACTCGTCCCTACATTTTTAAGTATATTTANCTCCGAAGCACTAATTCCATTTTTTTATTAGTATTATCTCATGATTAGTAAATATCATGCAGGCCCTAAATTATGTTGATGCCAAATTCATAGTGTCAATTCTATTTTTTCCTAAAAAGGAAATACCTATATACAAAGCTATTTTCTAAACTGCAATCAATATCAATAAAATAGAAACATAATTGTACCCTTGACAAATTTTTCATATTAAAGAAAGTAGGGAGTTTTGTCGGTTGAAAATCTAAGAAACTGAACTTTAAGTTACTAAAAGATTTTTGGGAAATTAAGATCGTTATTCTGTGATGATCAATTTTTGTTTTAAAACTGATATTGCTACTGCGGAAACGTATTTAGATTGTTGTTATGCTGGCTTAATTAAAAAGACTGGTGTGTGGAGTTTGTCTTATAGATTAAGTTCTAGTCTTGTTAACGGAAACGTGACCTTGGTATTAAATGCAACTTGGTCTTGAATATGACCTTCGTCTTAAGGTTACACGATAGTGTTCAAGACATAGATAAAGTATTCAATACTAAGACTATCCCTCTTATGGCTAATTTAAAAATGCTGGTGTGTGGAGTTTATCTTATAGATTAAGTTCTAGTCTTGTTAACGGACACGTGACATTGGTCTTTAATGTGGCCTTGGTTTTGAATGTGGCCTTGGTCTTGAATGCTATTTCTCTTGAATATGACCTTGGTCTTAAAGTTACACGATACTGTTCAAGACACAGATAAAGTATTCAAGACAAAGACTATTCTTCTTATGGCTAATTTAAAAATCGTGGAAATTCTGTATTAGGCTTCATCAGCGTATGGTTTTAAAAGAGGAAACGAACATGCACCATCAGGAAAAACAGGTTGGAAAGAACGCCATAGAGAACTACATTTCCCAAGTTCATCAACTTGAGAAGCACACAAATGAACTTCACACGTCACTTTCTAGTTTAACGTCTCAGTTGCAAGCAAGCAGGGAAGAGTCGGTTAGATGGAAAAGTTTAGCCAACGAACGGCTTCAAAATATGGAACAGTTGCAACAAAGGTTCGATATATTAGATATCAAAGCTTTACCTTCCGTTTCTGTATTTAGTGTAGACCACAGAAACATGGAAGGAAACCTTTTTATGCTGCACAGATTTTGGAGTCATTTTTTGCTCATGCAAAAGATGATGATGAATTTGATAATTTATTGCGGACTTCGCCAATTTTGATCGTCGTAACAATATAAACTTCTGTGTGGGTGAAAGATGACTCAATTGTGCACTATAAAAGTTTCTGTCGGTTTGTAGGAAAACAACGGGCGTTGTTCGGTTATTTTTTGTACAACCCTCGTATTTTCTTTTGATACTTACAGTTTAGAAAGACAACATCAAGAGGAAATAATGTCTTATAAAAAAGAGAATGAAAAATGGAGAAAAGAGGTATTGAATCTCCAACAAGCAATAATGAAATATCGACTGGAATTTAAGGATCTTCAGCCCGATATTTTGAATAAACTTAAAGAAAAGGAAGACAAAATACACGAACTTACTTCGATTATAACGAATTTAAAAGTAAGACTTTATCATCTACCTTTAATTTCCGTTATTGGAATAGAAATATCCATTTTAGTTTGATCTCAGAAAGAATGCGGAACGTATTTCTCTTACACCAAAATTGAGCGATTTGGAGGCTAAAAATCAACAATTGTCAAAGGAAATTGATGCTCTGAAAAGGCATTTGGAACAAACTATGAATAGAGAGAGAAATGCTAGAGAAGAGATAAGACAACTAAAAGATCAACTGATGAAACGGTACTGTTTTATAATTTTATAGTGTTTGAATAATTATATAAGAAAAATATAACAATTCTTTTAAAATTCCTATTGAGTTTTTGAGTTTTTCAAGTTAAAGATTTGAACACATTCCGTATACAAAAAAGCAGAAATGTTAAAAGTTCCTCATTCGTTTTTTAATCTTCTTTTGTCAAGGAAATAATTCTCTAAGAATTTTATGATCATATGTATCCCTGATAGTTTTCCANAAAACATACTAGGGCTCTTTTGGAAGTTTTGGACGAACATGAAACAAATAGAAAATACTACAAATGGCGCAGTAAACGCCATCTGTAGCACGATGCCACATTTTAGGATTACGTATGCTCCAACAAGGTCCACTTGTGTGGATATCTACTTGCTGAAAACGAATCCCGGCGTAGCCAACCTCAACGTGATAGGCACGTTAGCTTAATCGAATAAAATAATTCCAAGTGGTCTGTATTCTGTCGAAAAAAGCTGCCTGAGACGAGCTGATGAGATCCAAAAAGATCGAAATCGCGACCCGCGTCTGGCAGTTTCGACACAATACAGACCACTTCGAATTATTTTATTCGATTAAGCTAACGTGCCTATCACGTTGAGGTTAGAATTTTAAATGGACCTTGTTGAAGCATACGCAATCCTAAAATGTAGCATCGTGCTACAGATGGCGCTTACTGCGCCATTTGTAGTATTTTCCAAAACGCACTGTTAAGACAGCAGGTAAAAGTTGGTCTGTGTTCTGTCGGAGCTGCCTGCGACGCGCTGATGAGATTCAAAAAGATCGAAATCACGATCTACGTCTGGCAGTTTCGACAGAACACTGACCACTTCGAATTATTTTATACGAAACAAATTTTAAATGTTAACGCCCATCATCACCCTACGGTTGTCAGTCCTAAGACTGGTTGGACACGCACCTCCACTTTTTCCTATCCTGAGCTATTCTTCGTATTTCTCTAAAACTAGAACAACCTACATCCTTAACTGTTTGCGAACAGTAATCTAATCTAGATCTACCTCTACCCCTCCTAACTCCCGTTTCTGCCTCTAATGTCTCTGACTAGACCTTCATGCCTGAGAAAGTCCTACTAACCTATCTCGCCTATTTCTTATTGACTTCCATAGAGTCCTTTGTTCTCCTATTCTTTCCAATACCTCTTTATTTCTAACCTTCTCTATCCACGGTATCCTCATCATTCACTTGTAACACCACATTTCAAACGCTTCTAACCCTTTCAGCCGCGCCTACTGTCCATGTTTCGCACTCATACAGCGCCGCGTTCCAAACATATACCTTTAACAATCTTTTTCGAATTTCTAAATTAACCTTTCACGAGCATAGAAGTGACTTCTTTTTATTGAAGGCGACTCGACCTTGCGCTATCCCCTGCTTTATATCCCTACTACTCCTTCCATCCTGATTTATCTACCTTCCTAGATACCTAAAATCAGTCACTTCTTTTAATATTTCGCCTCCTATCTTTATATTCGCTCTTTCCCTACTTTTTCTTCCTTTGCATATCAGTATTTTTGTTTTACTTTTATTTATTTTCATACAGTACTGTTTTGTAGATTAGATTTTTTAAGAA